AACACCGTTAAGCAAGCGCCTGGATACACCCGACAGATGACCTCCCAATTTACAAACCCTCTTTCCGCGCGTATTTCCAAAGGCTGCGTACCGCCGCACACAGCCTATGTGTGGTTGAGTAAAAGAACATCAATATTAGGCTGTATAAAAAGGTTGCTTAGTTAGGCCTCTACACCCGAACCAAACTCCACTTGGTAGTTCCACACGCCTTGTGTGGCCTCCGCAACGACAGCCATCCGAAGTGCTTCGTAGAGCATTGGCATTCCATGCTGAGCCTGCGAGGTGCAGCAGCCATCAGGACCATTACCCGGGGCGCGGCTCAGGTGGTTACTGGTCACCCGTGTACACACAGCGCTATTCTCAATCACTTGACACATGTACGATTCCGACTCGCCAGGAAGACGGGTATACAATCGCGGGCAGCCAGGGCAGGAGGCCTTGAAGCGCCAGCAACCAAACATGGCATTTAAAGAGTCATAGAAGCAGATGCACGATGCCCCTGGTCGCAGAACAGGAACCCCCCCATGGCAACGCAGGTGCTCTCTGCGCACCTCGTATTGCTTCACAGTGTAGAACGCCAAATCGGTTTCGGGCTTTGCCAGCGCCCACTCGCGGATGGGCTTCACCTTGAGGATGCCCTCCGCGGTGGTGGGCATTGGAGGGGGGGCGGCGCCCGGCTTTGCCTCTCCATACATGGCGGCTACGTCCTCCTTATACTTGGTCACCAAGTCCATGAAGTCGCCGAGACGCAAGTCATCTGCACACGCGGACAGGGTTGCGGCGCAGAGGGCTTTGGAACCATGCATGTACACAACTGCAGCGACCGCCCACAGCAATTGCAAAGCCCCTGCACTTCGCCGGCCGACACAGGTGCAGGGCGGCCCAGACTTGGTGCTGGAAGCTACATCTGGCACATGGCCTATCCGGCCACCGCGGGCCGTGTTGTCCGCCACTGAGGTCAGGACGCCCATCTTACCTTTCGGCCCCAATCCCACCTCCTCTGCAAGCACGCGCCAGTGCAGCGGGCTGCTGGACTGGAACGCGTATGGCAGCAGCGATCTTGATATAGTGGAAGGTTGGACCCCGAAGTGGGCGGCCAGTGCCTGCGGGAGGTTCATCAGCGCGTGCCCCAACGTGAGGGGTAAAGCAGCAGCGGCAATGTGTGTTTTGTGTTCCAATGCCATACAATGCAACATAACACGGCAGCGAGGAAGGGCACACACTGTAGCCATTAGCTGCTGTAGGTCCTCCTTATCTCTTCCATGGCGCCTCGAGGAAAGCCACTTGGCCGGTATCTCAACCCGGTGAGAAGACGTGAGCCTCGTTCCGTCTCCTTACCTTGAGGGTCTGTGTCGAAGAGGTGTAGTGCGTCCGCCACACCTGCTGCGGGTCCAAAGCTGGCGCGGCTGTGCGGCGCTCACCTGGCGATCCATAGGCCCGTAGGTGTACGTGCATTAGGAACAGATACAAAGGGCATGGGCTGTGAAAGCAACATCAAAGGGTCTCGGGCACAGGCTTATCACTCTAGGCGGCGGGCAATCCCACGTTTAAGACGGTCCTCCGGGCACGAGGCGGTCCAGCCATACCTAGCAGCACTGCTAGCGGCTACATCCCGCCCGGGGCAGGTACCCACCGGCTTGTCCACCCCGATAGCTGGTGACAGGTAGGGAGAGGTCCACCAGCTGTGTGGGACAACGGGAGCCAGGGAACCAGGTCAGCAAGCATCACGCGCAGAGAAAGACCCGAAAGGCCATGTGATGCTCTCGAAGCTGTCATGGTACACCCTGGGCGAATCTCGTGAATGTGGCATCCGCCCGGGGATCCCTTCCGTACAAATGCTTCACGTACATGCAAAAAATGAAAGCAACCATCTGGCCCCACAATGTGCTCTCAACTGAATTTGTCAAACTGTGTCGTACATCCTTCTGCCGCCAACAGGTTCTGCAAGGGCCTCTACCTGGATGCTGTTGGCCACCACCTTGGTCACTCCCATGACGGCGTCCCGAGCCAGTCGCCCGTCCACAAGCACCTGATGATAAGGCGGGTGGAGTAAAGCGCTTTTTCTGGTCACATCGCGGTGCCCCGGCGGGCTGAAACAGCCACATAAGGAAACAGCCACCGGCGCATTGGAAAGACGGCCGGTCCGCGCCACTGCCTTACCTACCTAACCACCTCCTTACCTACCTGCGCTCCATGCAGCCCCAACAGGAGGGCGGCCTCCTCATTCCACGCTTCCAGCACGAAGTCCTGACCGCCCTCCCTGGAGAGAGGCAGCAGCAGTACCGGCACATAGGCAGTTAAATTACATGGCCACAATGAGACGGGAATACAGTCCAGGTGGCTGGGGTGAGGAGTTGTGGTGCAAGGGGCACACAAGGGGTCCACGAGGGCCAAGTAAGGGCGGCAACGTGAGACAGGGAACTGCTCAGATTGAGACGAGGAATGCCGGTCTATTGTTTGAAATGTTAAAAAAACATTTCAAACAATAGACTGGCATTCCTCGTCACACACGGTTCGCGTAAATCACGGGGCATTTCAACCGACCTGGCGCGGGGCATGATGGTGCAATAACATGATGTGTGGAACAGGGGGACATATCTTCACCCATGGCAGCTACCCTGCGAAACCCTGCCTTCCCCGGTATTTCAGGGCACCCTCATCAAATTACCCTAGTCAACTTCTCAATGGATCGCTCAGGTTCCGCATCCACCACCGGCATCCAACGTCATCTGCCGGATCGACGGCGGCTCAACTCCATTCCTGGTCAGCTCGCAAGATCACTTTATCCCAGGTCACCACCGTCCATCGACTAGGAGCACTTTACCCTCCACCATCGGAGGGATTTTCGACCCTGACAGGTCTCGATCCCGGAATCTCCGGGGGGCAATGGTCGTGCAGTAGTGCCTAACCTATATACCTAATAACATATTGTGAAGAGACGACCGAGATTGGCAGTTTCCAACTTACTTCGTGGCATAAGGAACATGGATGATTGCGGACGTGCAACGACCCTGCGTACGGTCAGCATAAACGGATCAAAGATGCTATAGGGTTTACGGAAGCACAGGATGCAGATGGGCAAGGGTAGAGATCAGCGGCGATGCTTCAAGGTTATCACGCATTTACAGCAATTCAGACTCGTAAGTAAACAACCTTGCAAAATCATATCTCTCATTCCATCACTGCATTTTTCGCTAATGTGCCCCTGAATCTAAGCTCGATGCCGTTTGTTTGGACCAGGAGTCGATTCGAGGTGTTTGCGTACCAAGGAAATCATCGCACATCGGGCACCCTGCTAGGACTTCAGCCAGGGCTCACCTGTCGCTCTGGCTGTAATATGGAGCCCATCAGCCTGACCGAATTAATATAACCCCTTCCAGGGTTAATGGGGGTGAGGCCACTCGAGACGGTCGCCCCCGCCCCAGGGCCTTGTGGGGGATATGCAGTTCTTTGCTGCGGTAATGAATACTGAGGAAGTTGCAAAAAACCAGCCGTGTTGTTTGACGTATAACCTGTTTGGGTGCTTACCGCGGACTGATATGCAGTAGGTGGCGCTTGCTGGGGGGTTTGCTGCTGCCGTTGCTGCAAATATTGGGGTTCGGACTGAAGGCCTTGGCCATACTTAAAGTTTTGGGGTGGATTGCTGCCATAGTAAATACCCGCCGGTTGTTGGGTTGGAGGACTTGAAATTGCGGCGTATTGCTCCGGGGTTGCCCCGAAGCCGCTAGGACCTTGTGCTTGACGAACGAGCACTGCGATGCGCCGATGCCTCTCTTGAGGAAAAAACGAACGAGTAGCACTCCTCCTATGTGGCACAACGTTCGACAACGCCGGCATCCTGTAGAGGGGCCAGGCGAGCGTCTCGGTTCAGGAAATGCAACGCCGCTCCTTTATTTTCAGTCGTATGAACGCGTAATGCATTCACATTTATTAGTTGTTGCATACGGGACCTTACATGCTTCACAGTAAGCCAGGCGAGATAGGAGCAGGCGGACGACAGCTGCTTGTTCTCGAAAATCTTGAGTCGCCACGAGAAAAATCATAAAACAGGTAAGTGGAGCATTAGATGGTATTATTGTCGCGCGATAGATTTATACCCTGTCTTTTTTTGGCCACTCCGAAACCTTACACCGGCTTCTCGAAACCCGATATCGCTTTGTACTTCGTATACCAAATAGACAAACGAGCAGGTTGGGATGCTGCAGATATATTATAATATGCTTTACGACGTAAGCAACTAGGGTGACCCCCACAGATCTAAGCTGACACAGGGTGATAAGGAAGAATGACCTTGTTCACATGACTCGTAAGAGAGGAACCGCATGTAACGGAGTTGTAAATCTACAACCTTGTGTTTGAGGACAGGCGGCGGGCTTCGCGCCAAAGCGTCGAAATGGTAACACAAGTTACTGTGGCGGAGCTGGACCAGGCGGAAGATGTGGGGTTCTATTTCAAGTATATTGGCGGCATTACCTTTGCGAACTTGTCATCGGCGCTCGAAGCACCGGGTGCCACGTCCATGGTGACGGCCAGCAGCAAGCACGGGCTCGTTTTCTTCAGTGACCTTTCAGGTAGGGGAAAGGGCCCTACCCTCGTGATTGTGGCAGTTTCCATTCATAATTCCTGTGGATGCTTGGGAAGAATTAAAGTGGGCGAGCGGTGTGGCACGCCGCCACGCCATGACTCCTTTACGGGGGAACACATTTTGCTGGGCAACGGTCATCACAACATGTAACGTATACGATACGGATACCATGACGCCTGCTCCTCACATGCGTTGTACCTGTTGCCACAGGCGTGTACGCGGTTCGGACAGACGACCTCCTACCCAGGCTTTGTACAAAGGTTGCCAGTGAGAGCTATGTGACCCCCCGGCCGGCAGACGTTTGCCTCTGGCACAAGCCGCTGGGGGGAATCACGCAGCTGGCACTGTCGACAGATGAATCTGTGCTGGCAGCAGTTGACGGACCGGCAGGCAGCGTGAGCTTCTTTTGCCTGGCTGACATGCGGCTGCCGGACACATCTGGCCCACACTGGTCCTTTCAGCTCGGCGGCATTAAGCAGTTCTCCTGGTGCAAGGCAGTGGAACATCGCGCGGGCAGCGGCAGTGGCCCTGGCGTGTTCCTTGTCGTGGACGCTGACCGGTCACTGCGTGTTGGGCGCTATGGCGACGCCGATAGCTTTGTGGTGGTGGCTTCGTCCGGGGTTGAGGGTGCGGACTGGTGTCCTGCGGCGGATGGCGACACGTTGGGCAGTCCAGCTTTGGCTTACAGCACCGGAGGGCAGCTCGCCATTTCGGCGGTGGTGTCCGGAAGTTCCGGATCGCCACTTGCCGTACGCCAGCTTGCATGCCTTCCGTTGGAGCACCCGCAAGGTGCGAATGTCTTTCAGTGGTGCCTCGGTGTGCAAGTGCCGCGGATTACAGGTCGTGTAGTTTATGATCCTGTCTTGCAGGACACATATTCCAACACCTAACCAACCTTGCTAGGGGTCTATGATTAGCTCTCAGCGCACATCCGTGATGGGGCTGAACTGCCGGCTGATGGCTGTAACACTTGCAGCTGACTCGCCTTGGCACACATTTGCACGTGCATACTGCGGAGCGAACAACATGACTGACGGGTAGCCTTTGCGTCATGGCTTTATGGCGCTTAATGTTCGTCGCTTCTTGGTCCTGGCCTGTTGCAGGGTTGGGCGTGGTGTTTGAGAGCGTCCGTTGGCTGCTGCCAGACACGCTGCTACTGGGCGGCAGTCAGCTCGTGGATGACGGTAACGGGGACGAGGGCGGTGACGAGTACAGCAGCCTACTGGTGCTCAGCGGCTGGGCGCCAAATGCTGTGGCACCTCCGCAAGGTGCCGCGTTGCACACGGACCTTCCGATGTTCGTGGAGGTGAGGCTGGAACTTACTCGTCGTGCTGGTTTAGTGCGGATTTAACGCTAATGCTGTCACTTTCACGATGGGGACTGGGTGCTCCGGTTATCCATGCTAGTTGTGAAGTCTGCGTGGCTGAATGGATGTGTGAACTACCTCCCAGCACTCCCACCGGGTTTTGCTTTCGGGTACGTCGCCCTCACACTCCTCCTTCCGCGCCCCGACCCGCGGGTCTCTTCCCTCCAGGAGGACAGCACTCCGCGTCTGTCCGGCCCTTACCTGCATGCTGTAGCGGTTCCTCGCTGGGGTGCACTTGTTCGCTGCCACCGCAAGGCAGTGGACGACCACGTACGACTGATGCGAACTGCTGAGGGGGAATTCGGGTCTGGAGGAAGTCCGCAGGTGCGGCGGGATGGTGAGCGGGTCTGGTCGTGCAAGCGAGAAGGCAGGGATGGATGCACCCACAGTGTTCGCAGAGTATTGGGTTCGCAAATCCTTTGGTTTCACAGTGCCGTGTAAGGACCAGGCTTCCATCCTTGAACACCCTCGTACTCAGGCGGTTGCTGTGACGGAGGAGCCCATGATGATCCGGCTGCCCAACGGCCCTGACGGCGGCAGCAACTACGTGCTAGGTTTGGGCTTGGACACCAGCATGCCCCTGGTGAGCCGGATATAAAGCAGTCTCTTAATGGTGCCCATTGTTCATCGCCTGCTCGGTTCATGCTCCATGTGATTGCGATCGGACTTTACCCGGCCACGTGGATTGCCCGTCCTCTTGTTTGCACATAACCTCTGAACCCTACCTTGCCCTGTTGTCCATCGCTCCAGGATCCCCTGCCCAACCCGCTCAGCGCGGAGAAGCCTCCCCTGGTGCCTCCGCCCGTGCTGCTCATCTTGACTTCGGACGGCGTGCTGCGCGTGTACGGATTCGGTCACGTGGAGCTCACCACGCCGCTGCGACCCCGCGCTGATGCAGCCGTGCCGCTGCCGACACAGCAGCCCGAGTGGGCTGTCACGCAGCGGTCGGTTGACGTAGCCACGAGTGGCACGCCGCCCTCTTTATCTCTACTCGACATGACGGACGCAGCTGCCAAGGCAGCCCTGCCAAGTGATGGTGTAAGCGCTTATCCGTATATACCCCTAGCTCTGATAAGAGTGACTATTGAGGGGACCGGTGATGGAAGTCTTCCTTACTTTGCCCTTCCTTACTTTGCGTTCATTAGGTACCAATTGTCGAGCTCTTGTGCCTTTGGTAGCTGATGGTTGTTGCCATTTGGATATCCTGTAGGATGATGACTTACTCGGGGACGATGATCCTGCAACCGCATGGAAGCCCGGGGGCTCCGAGACCAGGATGTCAGACACGTCTTCCCCTGCCGCCATATCCATGGCGCCGTCTGGAGCCGCCTCGCATCCAGGACCGGTAAGCCGGTAGCTGCCGAACCCAGCTCTGCAGCACCAAGGGGTTTGACAGTGTGAAAATCAATTGATATGTTGGTGATAAAGGGTCATGGATGTTAAGGAGATTGCATATGGCGCACGGTCCGCGTGCACGTCTTTGGTGCGCTTCTTTGGTTAGATGCCACCACCAGAGAGATTGGGACACCCAATATCCCGAGCCGAAATATAGCTAATGCAGCCTCCAGTGGAACACAGCAATGTGTTTGGGATTTAGTGGTCCTGGCGGCAGTCAGTGCGATGAAGACGGGGCGTCGGTTCGCGCAAGCGACAGCACACAGGCGGGAAAATACACATTATGCCTAAATCATTAACCGGGCCATCCACAGAGTGATTGTTGACTTTAGGGTGCGGTTAAGTCCTTTTACTTCATTAGGCCGAACTAAGCGTGGTTGGAACACATAGAGGACATTTGCTTTGCATGGATGAGCTCACAGACGAAGGTGATCCGTGATTCCACCCCTGGGTGATCCTTCAGACACAGCTTGGTAGGAAGGCGGTCCCACGTGTATTTGGCCGCACTTCTACACTTCAAGGCAGCACTAGTACGCCGATATTTGTAGGCGTGAGCTTGTCATTCATAGGGGAGCCATCTTGGCAAAATCCTCCTGTTGGCATCAGTGCTGGTCCGGTCTTAGTCGTGGCCGGGCTTGCTGAGGTGTTGTGCGTGCCGGTGCGGGCCACTTGTCCTTCCTTTCCGGCAGGTGATGTGCACTTTGGCTCGGTTTCTTTGCCGTACGGTATGGAAACTTGGTAGCCCGCTGTAATAACAACAGCGGGCTACTGTAATAACAAGGAAGATGCATTCGTTGTTGGCCTTTGCCCCTTTTGTCGTACGTCGATCCATGTCGTACGTCGAGGCTTGGTTATGTATACGACAATGAGTTTGGCTTCCTTACAGTTTCGATTTGCATGAAGCAAAATCCATGAAGCCACAACACCATTTCGCACATAAAAGGGTGCGATGGGGGGCGCGATATTGCGAAAGGCAACGGACAGAAGCGAAGGCAATCTAGGGTGTGAGCTGATGTTATAGCGAGGTGTTAGACTCTGCTTCTGCTGCTCTGGTTTTGTGCCGTCGCAGGTCCCAGCTGGTAGCCTGCCGTCTGCTGGTGCGTCCGATACTGGTTTGGTGCAGCTGAATGCCGAAAGTGTAACAGCCGCGGAGGACCTGGCATCACGCGTTGCATTGCCGGATTCTGGGAGTGATGACGGTCTGCTGGAGGATGAGGACGACGACGCACAGGAGCGGCGCCGGGCCGCAGCGGCTGCAGGTATCGCAAGCGACTCCGAGAGCGGCGAGGAGGTGACTTCCCCAGGTGAAGTACTCGTGGAGGCGTCGCGCTGGCGGGGCTATTTGTAGGGACGCTCGTGCAGGGTGTTCCAGCAGACCCAAACGCTGCCCACCAAGGCGAATGCGGTTTGTACACCAATCCATGCAGTACCGTTGGCTGCAATGTGTCTTCCTGGTGGGGAAAGGGAGTTGTATGGTCAATGAGTGGGGCCACACAGCTCATCAAAGATAGTGGTAAAAAGTCATCTTCCCTTACTACGCAAAAGTTTATTACAGGTGATGGTTGAATTCTCTATTCATGTTATGGAAAGGTGCAGTGCATCTGATTGCCGTCATCCCGCTGGGTACTGATGATTGGTACCCTTGTGCAGGTGTCGTACCGAGGTCGCAAACCCAGCCAGTTTCTGGTCCACCTTCTGCCGTCGGGGAAAAAACGGCCCAGCCGTCAACCGTGACCTTCCCTGCGGCCTGTGACGCCTTCGGCGGTGGGATGTTTGGCTCGGCAGCTTCTTCAAAGCCGTCCGGCCTAACGTTGGGTAGCACCTTCGGTGGCTTTGGAGCAGGATTCTCCATGTTTGGTGCGAGCACGTCCAATCCGCCCACAACCGCCAGTCGTTTTGGCGCAAGTGCACCTACGCCCCCCAGCATGCCGACCGGCGACTTCTGTTTCGGCAGCGGGTTTGCTGCGGCCTTGCCAACGTCCAGCAGCACACCCGCTGCCCCGCCGAGCCCCTGGGGCAGTGCGGTAACGACGGGTTTGCCGACAGGTGGGTCTGGAAGTGCTCCCGCAGGCTCCAGTTCCTTCCCATCGGCCCAACAACCGGTATTCGGTTTCGGTATCGGGGTTCCCTCTGCGGCGGCGTCCACCAGCAGCGCAGCTGCAGCATCTTCCAGCGGAATTTTTAGCCCTACTCCTAGTCCAGGAGGTGGTCCTTTTGGGGGAGTGCCTTCCAGCGTGGCTGCTGCTGGGGGTAACGAATTGGGTGCCCCGCATGTAACCGGAGCAGCTTCTGGAGCTGCAGCGGCTAGCAATATACAGCCTCCAGGCAACAAGGCAGCCCAGGTTGGTTCCGCAGGTAGCCAACTCGGCGGCGCCATGGCTGCTGCTGTCATCGAGTCCGCCCCTGCGGCGAATGGTGGCACGGTTGTCAGCACGACAATGCCAGACACAGGCCGCAGCGGGAAAGCGGGAACCGCCGCGTCAGTGCAGCTGCAGCCTACGGTGGCAGAGCTGGACCAGGCGGAAGATGTGGGGTTCTATTTCAAGTATATTGGCGGCATTACCTTTGCGAACTTGTCATCGGCGCTCGAAGCACCGGGTGCCACGTCCATGGTGACGGCCAGCAGCAAGCACGGGCTCGTTTTCTTCAGTGACCTTTCAGGTGGGGGAAAGGGCCCTACACTCGTGATTGTGGCAGTTTCCACCCATAATTTACTGTGGATGCTTGGGAAGGATTAAAGTGGGCGAGCGGTGTGGCACGCCGCCACGCCATGACTCCTTTACGGGGGGGAACACATTTTGCTGGGCAACGGTCAGCACAACATGTAACATATACGTTACGGATACTATGACGCCTGCTCCTCACATGCGTCGTACCTGTTGCCACAGGCGTGTACGCGGTTCGGACAGACGACCTCCTACCCAGGCTTTGTACAAAGGTTGCCAGTGAGAGCTATGTGACCCCCCGGCCGGCAGACGTTTGCCTCTGGCACAAGCCGCTGGGGGGAATCACGCAGCTGGCACTGTCGACAGATGAATCTGTGCTGGCAGCAGTTGACGGACCGGCAGGCAGCGTGAGCTTCTTTTGCCTGGCTGACATGCGGCTGCCGGACACATCTGGCCCACACTGGTCCTTTCAGCTCGGCGGCATTAAGCAGTTCTCCTGGTGCAAGGCAGTGGAACATCGCGCGGGCAGCGGCAGTGGCCCTGGCGTGTTCCTTGTCGTGGACGCTGACCGGTCACTGCGTGTTGGGCGCTATGGCGACGCCGATAGCTTTGTGGTGGTGGCTTCGTCCGGGGTTGAGGGTGCGGACTGGTGTCCTGCAGCGGATGGCGACACGTTGGGCAGTTTAGCTTTGGCTTACAGCACCGGAGGGCAGCTCGCCATTTCGGCGGTGGTGTCCGGAAGTTCCGGATCGCCACTTGCCGTACGCCAGCTTGCATGCCTTCCGTTGGAGCACCCGCAAGGTGCGAATGTCTTTCAGTGGTGCCTCGGTGTGCAAGTGCCGCGGATTACAGGTCGTGTAGTTTATGATCCCGTCTTGCAGGACACATATTCCAACACCTAACCAACCTTGCTAGGGCTCTATGATTAGCTCTCAGCGCACATCCGTGATGGGGCTGAACTGCCGGCTGATGGCTGTAACACTTGCAGCTGACTCGCCTTGGGTAGGGCCTAGTAAATCCGTTTTCTCACACATTTGCACGTGCATACTGCGGAGCGAACAACGTGACTGACGGGTAGCCTTTGCATCATGGCTTTATGGCGCTTAATGTACGTCGCTTCTTGGTCCTGGCCTGTTGCAGGGTTGGGCGTGGTGTTTGAGAGCGTCCGTTGGCTGCTGCCAGACACGCTGCTACTGGGCGGCAGTCAGCTCGTGGATGACGGTAACGGGGACGAGGGCGGTGACGAGTACAGCAGCCTACTGGTGCTCAGCGGCTGGGCGCCAAATGCTGTGGCACCTCCGCAGGGTGCCGCGTTGTACACGGACCTTCCGATGTTCGTGGAGGTGAGGCTGGAACTTACTCGTGCTGGTTTGGTGCGGATTTAACGCTAATGCTGCCACTTTCACGATGGGGACTGGGTGCTCCGGTTATCCATGCTAGTTGTGAAGTCTGCGTGGCTGAATGGATGTGTGAACTACCTCCCAGCACTCCCACCGGGTTTTGCTTTCGGGTACGTCGCCCTCACACTCCTCCTTCCGCGCCCCGACCCGCGGGTCTCTTCCCTCCAGGAGGACAGCACTCCGCGTCTGTCCGGCCCTTACCTGCATGCTGTAGCGGTTCCTCGCTGGGGTGCACTTGTTCGCTGCCACCGCAAGGCAGTGGACGACCACGTACGACTGATGCGAACTGCTGAGGGGGAATTCGGGTCTGGAGGAAGTCCGCAGGTGCGGCGGGATGGTGAGCGGGTCTGGTCGTGCAAGCGAGAAGGCAGGGATGGATGCACCCACAGTGTTCGCAGAGTATTGGGTTCGCAAATCCTTTGGTTTCACAGTGCCGTGTAAGGACCAGGCTTCCATCCTTGAACACCCTCGTACTCAGGCGGTTGCTGTGACGGAGGAGCCCATGATGATCCGGCTGCCCAACGGCCCTGACGGCGGCAGCAACTACGTGCTAGGTTTGGGCTTGGACACCAGCATGCCCCTGGTGAGCCGGATATAAAGCAGTCTCTTAATGGTGCCCATTGTTCATCGCCTGCTCGGTTCATGCTCCATGTGATTGCGATCGGACTTTACCCGGCCACGTGGATTGCCCGTCCTCTTGTTTGCACATAACCTCTGAACCCTACCTTGCCCTGTTGTCCATCGCTCCAGGATCCCCTGCCCAACCCGCTCAGCGCGGAGAAGCCTCCCCTGGTGCCTCCGCCCGTGCTGCTCATCTTGACTTCGGACGGCGTGCTGCGCGTGTACGGATTCGGTCACGTGGAGCTCACCACGCCGCTGCGACCCCGCGCTGATGCAGCCGTGCCGCTGCCGACACAGCAGCCCGAGTGGGCGGCTGTGGTACGGCCTGGGCTCCGTGGACGGACTCTTGACTCTGAGCATGAGAGGCGGCGTGGGGGCTCACCGGGGTTAGTTGAAAGCGATTCAGAGAGCGGCGAAGAGGTCACGTCACCGGGTAAGTCTGTGGTTGTACACAGGCTGCTTTGTGTGTGGTATATCCGTGTCTTCGTTTTGTATTGTATTGTATTGTGGTTACAGTATTTCCGCCGCCGACGCGGCGGGTGCCCTCACGAGCCGTGAGGCTCCAGAGCACGCTGTTGACGCTCATCAAAAACCTCAGTAAGGAAAGTAGCGATTTTCCTCGGATTGGTATTAAGAAATACCTTGCGCATATCAGTATCTTCAACGTTAATCAGAAACCTATTACGCAACTCAGTATACGCCTCACACTCCATGAGCACATGATATTCATCCTCAACCTTACCCGACGTACAGACCTGACACGTACGGCACTCTCTCGGCCTATGGTGTCCTTTGTTGACCTCCAAAGGCCAACAACAAAGACGGAATTTGGCAACCATACGCAACTGGTTGACCGGCAAATAAACACGCAAATAGCCTGTGGGATCGGAGCCCTCTCTTGCTGGTGAAGGGGAGCCCATCCAGTTATGATACCTGCAAAGCGAAACCCCTTTACCTTGGAACACACGCGGATCACCCCCTTGGCTGAACTGATCCCAGTCACTTAAAAGGAACGCAGATAACCTCTCCAGAACCTCACCCACTCGAATCAACTGAGACGAGTATACATCTACCTTCTGAGAAACGGAGTCACACGCCGGCCACTCATGGCCCAACCAACGCAAAATGATGAGCACTTTAGACGACCAGCAATCCACTTTGAGATCAGACAGAAGAGCCAGACGGAGATCATCTACTAACACGTCATGATAGACCGA